AAGCAATTGGGCAAAGAAGCAATTCTTAGTGGGTTTCCATTTGTTTGGTTGGAAAATTGTATAGTTTGGGTGTTTAGATGTTGAGAAAATGCTTTAAATTTGTTTGGTTGCTGAGATTGGTTATCAAGAAACTATAATGTCCGTTAAAGAAAGAAAATTTGATGAAAAAAATGTGATTTAATTATAAATTAATTTAGAATCTTAATTTTGATTGATATAAATAATTATAGTTTAATGATGATTAATTAATAAAATTTGATTTGATATTATTTTTTATTTATTTAATATTTATAATATTAAATTTATTTATTTATTTAATAATATATAAATTTTATATAAAAAATAATATAAAAAAATTTATCTCTATATCCCGTTGTTAAAAACAAAATCATTAAATTCATGTTTGTTTAAGATTGGGGCCGGATGTTGTTGGGCCCAGCAGAAGTAGTTGTGGTCTAGATTGTACTCCGAGAAAGACATGGGTTACTTGAATCCGGTGAAACTTAGAGCCCAATATCACGTTTTGTCCCAAGCCAGCACATACGCCTCGCGGTACACCTAAATTAATTAAAATGACACATTTGACAGTTTAAACTGAAAAAACTACGGTTGTCGGAAATTTAGAGATGTTAGATTATGGCAATGATACAGTGTACGAATAAAGAGGACGAAATTATGGAACGAATAACATGACAAACCATGTCATTAATATATAAATTTTTTTTAAATTTAAATCAAGTAATTTTGCTAAGGTAGTGTACCATTTTATAGTCATCTTGTCAAATCGTCTTGTTTTTTCCTTGCTTTTTCATCATTATTCTTATAGAAAACAGGTTTAATATAGCAACATTATTCCAACATTTGAAATTGAAAATCAATATTGAAAATTTATGTAAGACTTAATTATGTGTAAGTGTAAAAGAATCAAGACTCATTTATTCCGATTTATTAATTAATAGATTAATGTAAAATGTATAGAAAATGTCCCTGTAGAGTGGAAAGCAAGAATAGATGACTCTTACCCTTACTATGTCATCCCTCATAATCCAAGACTGTCTTAATTAGGTGATCAAAATCTTCTATCTGTATGTTTTTCTTCACCAATAAATTTCTGACAATCATTTGCTAGCTTCTTAATTAATTAATTGATTAATAACATATGTACATGAACAACAATATGCCTCTTCAGGAAATACAATATCATTAATTATTAATCAAAATTTCAACATTTGAGTTGAGACCCTAGAAGCTTCCATCTATGTCAAACCCTAATCTTGCCTCTTCTCCTCGGTAATATACATAATCTGGAGATTGCTCATACCCTATGGCACATATTTTATTTTAATCATTTGATCTGTTGGTTGGAATAGGTAATGTTGCTTCAAAGGAAGCCACTTGTCACATTTTGGTGTTAATATAAAGGGTTTTGTTTAGGGTTTATGTATTCTACTATTTTTTAGGATTTGACATAGTTTAAATCAGTTAATTTTGTGCTCTGCGTGCATCTTACGGTGAAGGTGATGTGGTTACCGGCCGAGTCACGAGAGTGCACGGATGCACCCATGACTTTGGTTCAGAGTCTTCAGAGCCAGTCATTGTTTTCTCCAAATTAAGATTATCTTTAGAGATTCAAGTTTTTCATAATAAATTATACATTAAAAGTGCAATCTATTTTATAAATTTACTTGTATACTCTTAATCAAAATTATATAAAAAATTAATATCACTAAAGGCTGCCTTTAAGTAAATTAATGCGACGGATTACATTTTTATGTACAGTTTGCCCTATAAGAACACTTTTTTGTTATCTTTATTCAAAAATAGAAAAAGATTATTATATGCTGGTTGAAAAGATTAAGATTTGTTTTTAGTCTGCCTTAACGGTTTCAAAAACAATTCCGGAAAGCATCAGAATAATTAGAGTGTATATTGCAATGTATAAGCTAATTAATGAGTCAAAAAGTGTCTTTTATTGTGTAATTCCAGGTAAAAGGGGAGAAAAAAAGTTGGTGATGTGTGTGTAGAGAGGTAACATTCGAAAATTAATTATTTGGTATCATAGAAATTAAAATTTTTAATTTTTAATTTAAATCTAAATTTTTAAGTTAGTAGATATCAACTTATTAAAATTTTATGTATAATTTAAACATGGCATTTTATTATTAATATTTTGAGTCATACATAAATTTATCTATATATATACACACACATGTTCATTTAATATCATATTATCACATTATATTATATAAGGTATAGTTAAAAAATATATACTATACTTATAAAGTTGTTTATTTTGTTAGTTAATGAATGAACAAATCAAAAATATTTTTGTATAGTTTAAATTACATAAAACCAACCATTAAATGAGTACAAACAGAACATTCTCATATAATTAATGATCTTAATTTTACAATCCAACAAACTACAAAATTGCGAACCGTAAACAAATACTATAATATGTTATTTTGTTTGGAAAATCGCTGTAGCAGTCATATGGATGTGACGGAGGAGAGAATCCCGAGAGTGAAAGCACAAAATTAAAGAGGACCAGCAAAGTGAAGGAGGGCATATGTGCTGATGTGCCAGCTTCAAAGTACAAAGATACCCTCTCCATTCATGTGATTTCAATTTGAGAAACAAAATAGTTTTGATTTAATTACTTTCCCCTCTAGTTTTGAAAATCAACAAATCTACATTCATGGCATTTTGGACGACAAGAGGATATCTCAAGTCCGCTAGCTTCCATGAATGTTTGATCTATATTTTGGATCTTATTCTGCCATTATTTCATAGGGTTTGCATTTCAGACCCTACGCTACCTGCCTCTCTTGTTGCCTAATTGTTTGCCTTCTCAACCAAGAAAAATAAGAATAAAAACATTCTATGAGAATTGAACTAAAGGAAACCTATTAAATGGGAATACTAGATCTTAGATCACTTAATTTGCATATCATAATAGTTTTTATCTTAAGTTTGAATCTTTCCACCCTAAATTGTTCTATGTAGACAAATATATGTCCAAGCAATAAACAAAATTGACTTCAGAAGGATTTATATTGTATTTGCTTCACTTTTCACTTATGGACCAACGTGCAGTTCTTTAAGAAGGCTAAGAGAGACCATAATTTCTCGAAATTTTCCCAAGTTAAATGTGAATAAACCACTTTTGTTTGTACCATCAAAGAGGCAGGTCTTCTGGAGTCTGGTGGAGAGGAAGAAAAGAAAATCTCTAGAGTCTAGAGCTCAAGTGCAAGGAAAAAAGCAGCGGCTTTGAGGGCTTCCACTCGTCTCTCTCTCTCTGATCTCTTTTATTTTTCCTCCTTGTTTTTCCTTTTCTTTTTCTATTTTGTTTTATTTTCTTAGTTTTTTTTTTTTTTTTCCCTTAAGGGTTCTTGTCTCTCCTAGAGGCTAGCTTCTGTAGGTGTTTGCCCCACCTGGCATCGTCTGTGTTGGTTTCCCTCCTTGTTTTTCCTTTTCTTTTTCTATTTTGTTTTATTTTCTTAGTTTTTTTTTTTTTTTTTCCTTAAGGGTTCTTGTCTCTCCTAGAGGCTAG